ACAGAAGAGCAGGATCATTACCTGGACAAAAGAAACAAACATCCAAGAATTGCCCATGAGATCAGGGGACACAAGAGAGTGTGTGTAATTTTAAACCTTGTTAGTTGTCATGGGGATGTATGTTGTGAACTACTGTGTTTTTTCATGTTTTCTGGTTTGATGTGGGATTGGAGCTGCAGTTGTTAGCAATGTATTATCTAAATTTGGATTTGGATTTGGATTCGATGTTTTGGTTGTGGAATTTGGATTGGATATGACTTTTGATTTTATAAGGATGGCAACAAGACTTTTGTTTTTAACATGGCTTCAGTTGGTGTTTGTTGAGGTTTTTTGGTATTTAAGATGCTTGTGCATATTGTTATGTGCTGATGATTGAATGTACCACATTTATTTGGCTTATAGGATTTTTGTGCATATGACACCAACATACACTAAAATGAACTTACACAAAAACATAAACTAATTCAATATAAAATTTCATTAACAACCGAAATGAAGTTACAAAACGGCAGCATACACTTAAATTCAGATAACAACATACATTGCAATTTCCTTAACAAAAGGTTGTCCTACACCAAGTTCATCATAAGGTTGTCAACCATTTTCCTCTTTACCAAAGAACAAAAGCAAAACAACAAATAACACAACTGACACACACACAATAGGATATCTGAATCTGTTTCTCTTGGACAAGACTTGTACTTGCTCCTCCAACTCATTTACTTTGGATTTAAGATACAATAGTTCATCTTCCTTCATTTTCAGCCTCTCAACCAATGCTACTTCAGTAACATCTCTGCATTTTAATTGCTCCTCCAGTAATGCCTTCTCAGCCTTCAGTTTCAGAAAACATGATTTCTGAAATGGTCCAAGCTCCGGATCAACCCAAGAAAAGTATGTACATGCATTCTTATACAGATAAGCAAAGATTAGAATTAGAACAAAACACAATAACTGAAAAACCATACAACTAAGGCAAAAATTATCAATTTTCATCTCATATGATAAACTGAAATTTCAAATTCCACTCGTTTTTTCTGTGTTCATTTCATCAAATTGAACTCGTCATTTGAAATTGAACTCAACATTTCATATCAGAATGGCCACACATGAAATTACAAAAACAAAGCCAAATTGCACTCACAGCGGCACGATTGTAGTCATATCGGCATGAAACAGAATAAAAAACAAAATTGCAAAACGAAATCGTAGTCACCTGTATGTTGCGGCAACGTCGGAATCGACGACAAGGATTGAGGTCGGTATTTGACGTGAATATAACTGCTTCGTCTCCATGGAAACATACTGATTTTAATGTCCTTGAATCTGAGCTAGAAGATGACGACATTTCGGGGCAAATTGGGGTGAATTAGGGTTAGGGCAAAATGAATTGTGGTGAATTTGGGGAAAAATGAACGATTATGGTGAATTTGGGGAAGAAGCGTCTTTTATACCAGGGTTATTGCCACCTGGAAGCTGACTCGGACGCCCGTTTGGTGTTTCCGTCAAGTTAAATTGCCACATCACACTTCCGTTGATGGCAGTTAGAAGTATGTATCGGGTTGCCAAAATGGTAAAGGTCATGTATTTTTCTGACAAGGTTTGAAGGTCGTGATTAAATTGCCAAACGCGTAAAGGTCGTGTTAATTCCCGCCATTTTGCCTTTTTTTTTGGTACATGAAAAGAGGCGAAAAGCCTAAGTTATGAAACGATCACATTTCGTGGGTAAGATACACAGATAAGATCGTGTTCTAGCCACGGCTTTACTCTCATTTGACAATCGGGGGTTGACTGGTGCGGTCCCACGGACGAAGCGGATCAAATCAAGGAAGGCCAAATGAAATTCAAGTGAAGTTCCATCCCGAAACTAATTGGTGGTAGGAGGAGTAGCCCACTAGGCTTATAAGTTAGGCCTATTTTCCCTATATAGACGATGTGGGACAACTCACAAGTGTGTATTCTAACAGCATTGGTGGCGCATCCAAATAGTGAAGACCACTGGGGCTAGTTGAAGCTAATGAAGCTGCGAAATTCGACTCACGCCAATCATGCAACAGTTGAACCCTCCATTCCCGGGCAATCAGTTCCCACTTTATTAAACTTCCATGCATCCCCAAGCCATCATGCAGCCCATTGATCATCTGCATGACTCCTTGGTTGTCCATTGAGGCGATAACCTTAGAGCATCCCAAGTTCCATGCCAGTTGAAGGCCCTGAAAGAGAACCCATAATTGGGCGACGGCGACTTTTGTCAAACTGATATTCATTATAAAGCCACTCACCCATTGGCCACAAGAGTTGCAGATCAAATCTCCAGCACTAGCCATTCGACGCATTAAAGGCCCCATCAAAGTCCATTTTAAACCACCCCTTAAGCGGTGTGAGCCAGCGAATCATTCGATTCTCTCGGGTGATACCACTACTCAAAAATTTCTTCCCCTGCAAAATAGTAGCCTTAATCC